GACAAGGAGGAGAAGATGGGGGGATTTGATTCCGGCTGACAGGTTTTCTGGCTACAGCTGTTTTCTGAGGGAGTGCAGGCAGCACCTGGAAAATACCTGGTTATGGGGAACCATCTGTGTTAGAGGACTGTTTTGTGCATCACGGGTGCTTAAAAATGTCATGACTCACGCCTTAACCTGTCTAGCACATGGATGTTGGGTTCTAGGTTTGGCAAATGCTGACAACAGACATCTGTGTGAAACTGACTCTTGGACTGCCATTGGATGAGGAAACATAAGCACTTTTTGGGGGTAACTGAACTGTAAATAAGTAGATTTAAAAGATATTTTTTGTTAAGATTCCTTTCTGTACTCTAGCTGTAAAATAAAAAGTTCGGAAAAGCTTTTCACAGGTTCTAGTCCTTTTTTTCACCAGGCATTAAAAGGGTTTGCTTCCCAGGTTTCAGAAGAGACTTGTTTAGATTAGATATATTTTAATCCAAATGTTTTAAAACAGTCCAATACAAGAGAACTGAACATAAAATTACAAAACGTCCGTTGTGTTAGTTCTATGGCATCTCCCAGCATGCCCCTGGGGGAGTCATAGTTCATAGTTGAATCACAGCGTTCTAAAGGTTTGGAAGAATTTACTAGTGATCTGCCACAGCTGATTTTGTAGAGGGAAATAACTTGCAGAAACAAACATTTCCAGCCCTAAAGTACAAATGACCTTAACTGAAAATTATATGCTTATCAAATTTCCAAGTGTTCCTGATGTTCAGAAATGGGTGATTTAGGATAACCTACACAACTATAAAAGGGATTGGGATCTCTGGGCTAACCCCTGGCTCCACTCTAGGATTACAAATTCAAAAATGTCTTATAAATGATGATCTCAGACTAGAGTTGAGCCCTAAGCAAAAAAAGGCAAATATATGCTTAATATTAAAATGCTTATTGCGTTCAGACATGGGAAAATCAGCATGCAGCCTTGTTTCCTTCATGCTTGGCAATCTGTTAAAACGTGTACAGAAACTTCTATAAATCTCAACACAATGTAAGAGCTGGGATGAACACTTCGAGGTACTGAAGTACAGTCAGGCTATAGTGATTGACCAGATTTCTTCATATAGGGAAGCGCTCCGGTCACAGAGCCAAACTCCACCTGGGGGGGCTGCTGCTGTACCCCCAGGTCTACCCACGATCCTTCACTTCAGTAAATGTCCCGTTGGCTGCTCTCCAGCTGGTCATTGTAAAAGACAGGTTGTCACACGACCGATCTGCGTAAATGATATATTTTTAAAAACACTCTTAGTAGATACAGTATTCATTTACATAATTCATTCATAATTTGACAACATCATCAAAATTGCATAACCCGTAAAAAGGAAGTGACTTTCAGTGTTTTATGAACAACATCCACAGTGCTGTCCTCTTGGCGATTTGGAATAAAACGGGAACCTAGAAAGTTGTACTAAAAAGAAATAATACCACAGTCGGTTCTGCAGGAATTTGGAATAAATGTAACAGACGTGCAAAAGTAATCCAATTAATGAAAAGTCAATTGAAAATGCAAAAGTTTCCACTACTCTACTCAGGAAACCAATATCGTTGGGGTGCGTCTTAGCATTTCTCCAACACAGTCCCTCCCGGCCATGATGCTGAAACTTATATCCCAGCTTCTTTCGAGAACCACAGGTCAGTTAGCTACTTGCAAACAAACACACTCGTTGGGCAGAATGGCCTCCTTTGTCACCTGTTTGAGTTCTTATGACGTCAGAAAAGTTCAGCCAAACTGCAAAGGTGAGGACTTGTTCCAGCACGTAGGGCACCATACTGAGGATACAGAAACTAAGAATAGCATTTCTGCCGACAAGGCACTAAGCCCACCTCATACAAAACCACAACACCACCTGACAGATACAACCACGCTCAAAGTAGAAGCTACATCACTAACATATAAACGTCACATGCAGAAGGATGTGACGGCACTTTTTCAATGCATGTTAACCTTTCCTCCCATGTTCCAGGTACTTTTACAAAATGTTTTTCAACAATGATAATATACTTTGAACAAACATTGGTACAACTCACTCTCCCATCCAGGACCTGTTCAATTTCACTAAAGCAGTGTGCATCCACATAGGTTTGGGACAGTATCTTGTTAAAGGCATTAAGTTATAGAATATATAACTGTACAGTGATAGCAAAACAATAAGAAAAAGTGCACTGCACGTAGATATCCCTCATATTTGTAAAGGGGGAAAATTCTCCAGTGACTAATTCATTCTAACACTTAGACAAACACTTTAGCCAACAGTTCAGGTGGGTAGCTCTGCCAGCATGCGTAGTCTGCAAAGAAACAAGCAATAGGTTTATTCCATGCTGAAAAGAGGAGAGAAAACACAACATTTTGGCTGTGAAGCATTCTTCAGCACACCTGAAGAAGGCTTTGCAGCCGAAACGTGTCTTCTCTCGTCTCTATTCAGCATGGAATAAACCTATTACTTGTTCCTTTGCAGACTTTAGCCAACAGGTGACTAATGTAAGAAAAGAACAAGTTAAATTCTATGATATTGTTTCAGGGCTTGAAGGGCGTGTTTCAAGAAAGTAATTTTAATACCAGCCACCCAGTTCCCATACCCAATCAGAAGCATAGCAACTCTACACAGCATAAAGACAATCAGAGAGAGAATCAGACAGCTGGGATAACGTGATGTGAGCTTGAAGCCTATCAGGCGTTCACAACTGAGACAAGACACAGACTAGGCACCTGTGAGCACACATCTGTGGCAGCTTTCCATCTGAATTTAAATCACATTACACAGAATAGCTTATTTTTTCTTAGTGTTTTGGTAGTGCTGGATTTAGATTGGATTTGTATTGAATGTACAGGCTTTGGTCTATATCTGACTCTCCTCTCTGCATCCACCACCGACTGGTGCTTACCACATTGTGGCATTGTCACGCGGCCTCAGTCCACCAGAAGAGCTCCAGAGGCCGATCGGCCTCCTCACATCTACATCTAGCCTTTCTGGTGGTCAGAATCAGCAAGCCTTCAGCTTGCCAAGTGGGGAAACAAAGAGCTTGGACAGTTAGGTCAACTGGAAAACCAGCTGGGCTCCACAGGGGCCGCAGCGATTCCAGAGGAATGATCAGCGCAAGGTCCTCTGTGAATTTCTCTTCTCTTCACTGGTCTTTTCAGATTGGAAAAACCAAGTTAAGCCAGTGTGAGTCAAACAGAAGTGTGTTCTCCGCTCCCACATCACCGTGCAGCAGAGTGGGTGCTGGGGCAGAGTGGACACTGGACACTGGAATGTTGGACGCTACCTGAAATGCTGTCCCATGGCTTGGCCCCCAGGTGACCAGGTGACCAGGTACCAGTACAGCTCTGCCACTTGCTACAAGAAAAAAGTAATACTTGGTGCTTAGACAATGCTACCTCATTGTAAACTATCAGGCCTGGAGGCCTTGGGGCATGAGCAGCTAAAAAGATAAAAAGAGAGAGGTTCTCAGTAGTTCAAGTCAAAGGCTCCCTTTCCTGCAGCAGATGAGTTGAATGATGGTCTACAAGTTTCACAGTTGTCTTCGCTGCATTGCCCAGGAGCAAGAGGCGCTGATCAGTGTGGTCCGTGTCCTGACAGCTAGCCTGTTCAGGATCGTTCCCACACCTGTGGGTGCCAGGATCAGGTCCACAGGTCTGGCGCTACTCGCTGAGGTCCATCTCCGTCAGCACACAGAAACAAGTGAACTGGGTGAAGCACGTCAGGGCTCCTGTTCAAGCAGAAATAGGGGAAAAATGTAACAGATGTCAAATCACTCTCTAAACCTCCAGTAATACCTTTAAGATAATTATACTTCTATAATCTTAGAAAAAGGTAAGATTACAGTAATATTCAAGACCTGGATTAACTCCACAAAACCTCAATACACCTGTCAAGCTGCCCAAAATAATAACAGACACAAAAGAAATGGGACATCCTGGAGATTCTTACAAGGGGTAAGATAGTGTGGTCTGCTCAGAATAACCTGCTGTCATAAGGTGACGTGCACCTCGACAGTGAGCCTGGTCACCTGCAAGATGCAGAGGGCTCATAGAGCAGGCGGGGAAACTACTGGAGAAGCGTCTGGGATCCACTTCATTTTGCCGAGGATTTTCCTATTAAAACCCCTCGCAGCCGCTTGAGAAGCTCTCAAGCCACAGCCAACCTCTTAACCGATGGGGAGGAATGCTGGGAAGGCTGGTGGTAAGGTGGGAGTCGTAGTATCGGCAAGATTCCACACGAAGGGCAGGGCAGCAGTGTCACTCACGCAGCAGCTTGGTGATGAAGGGTGGCCGCTTGGACTCGGGCAAGTGGACCCCCAGGAAGTAGACCGGCACCCCAGTCAGGGTGATGGCAATGCCAATGAAGGAACTGACGGTGTTGCTGTACAGGGGCACCGCCACCAGGAACACAGTGCACAGGCAGTACACGATAGGAAACAGCAGACTCAGCTGTGCAGACACAGAGAAAGATGGAGAAACAGAAAATAGGCTAACGTGCTTTCCTGGAAGTAATCTGCATTAAAAATACAGCAGAATAGATGTAATTTACTGCAGAGACTGGATTGCCTGCCCCTCACCCTTTTATGTTTCTAAATGAACAGCCTTAGTCGTTTCTCACCTTGAGTGGTCTGGGCCTGTCAGGCTCCTTCCAGCGCAGGTAGATCTGTCCAGTAATAGACAGCCCCACGAAGAACCAGTTACTGAAGCTATAGTAGTTGATCAGTTGGAACACATCTTCCACAGCCAAGTATACTAACGTCATGGCACACTATCAGACCAAGTACAGGACATTATCACAGACATGCATTGTCATCTTCATACCACTAGAGGGAGACAAGCCCCGCTAGCTGCAGAAGGCGCAAATTAGGACCTTAATCACTCTCATCTTTTCCAATCCACTGAAATAAAGTCTATGGCATAACGTAATGTGGGCTTGAAGCATAACAGGTGTAATATCACTGTATACACTGCCATTTTCAACCTAGGGCACACTCAATGCTGTACGTTTGCAGTGAAAAAGTTATTATTATTATTTAGCAAAACTGTCTATTCAAAGCTGATTATTTTCCTGTTCTATGTTGAGTCTAACTAAATTTCTCATATAGTTCCAATATTATTTACAAAACTGTATTGTAAACTTAAACTTTTTTTATAACTTCAGTCCGTTGTACACAAATGCACACAGGGGACAATTAGCTGATACCAATATTCCTAGACAATATGTCATGGATCGTTGGAGGAAAACAGATTACTTAGTACATATCCACACAGCCTAGAAGAGAACATGCAAGCTCCACACAGCACTGCTGCCTCACGGCTCTTGAGTTTAAACCCTGGCTTGGGCACATTCTATCTGCCACTTTGCTCATGATACAATAATTACATGACATTATAATATAATAATTGCTATAGAAATAAATGTTAAATACCACATTTATATTTTCTTATAAAAAACACTAAGCACTCATTTTCAACAATAAATTTGGTTGGCACCACAGAGAATGATATAAAAACAATAATTATATATGCTGTAGAGCACAAATGTAAAAAATATCAATTTTAGTCTATTTCAAAATCACAAAGTATGCCATTATTTTGTTGTGTTTTAAATTTTTATTGTTTATAATAATATCAAATCTATTTCTTTTGGATGCCAATTAGCTCCAGTCTCCAAGAGCAGTTTCGTTAATGGACCCATGTCTTTACTGCACTGGCTGTTTGGGTAAAACTAGAAGAATGAAAGGACCTTACTGGAACCCAGAGCTCAACCCACGTCTGCAGAGCGAAGCAAACGTCAAAGCGAACAGAAATGAATTCTGGGGTGTGTCATATTGGTGCCAGAGGTGGCATCAGAAGAGACATCACACTCATAACTGGCTTGTGGTGGACACGTATTCATAGCGAAGTCACTTTTTGATGTCTGCTGCTCCTCTTGCTGTGCAGCAGAACCCACCAAACCTTGGATTGGTCACCCACCAAGAAGAAGGTGGGGCTATGCCATCGTGAGACAGGTTAACCTGATCTACTGATGATGTGTTTTTGCTATAGTAACCCCGCCCAGTATGCAAAGCACCTCATGGTTCAGAAATTCAGAGTTTATCCTTGGCTGAGGGTCCAATGGTGCAAAACTATCATCTGTGGGGTTACGCCTGGCCCCCCTCAATCAGAATCACCCCCTAACAGGTGAGCGAGCTGTGGCAAGGTACGAGTGTAGCAGCACCTTTTGGAACCTGGCATTCTTTACTAGCACTCAATGGCTTAGGAGACCCATTAAGAAGTTTCATTAGAACACTTGACTCTTTTCTTTTTCATTAAAATTACTTAGTAAGTACAAATGACTTGCGTTGAAAAGCAGCGCTGGCACAGGTGTAAAGCGCTTCACATGGATCATGGACAGAGCGTCTGGCAGGTGGCCTTCACGGGACCCCACGAAAAACAGCCTGTGGACAGACAGCAGGGCAACAGTGGGGGGTAATGAGCTGTCAAGGAAGTCCAGGAAGTCCAGGACAGCCTGAAAGCTTCTCTTTGTTCTGTGTTATTTCAGGAAACTTGGCTGTGCGGCTGCAGAGAGGTCATGAAAACAAAGGCTTTCAGTCACAGCGACACACCTGCTCCCACCATCACCCTGGCAGCAGTTTACCTGGAGGTGTGGTGGAGCAAGAAGCATAGTGAACAGTCTGTACTTCAGCCATGGCAGAGCACAGCCCGGATCACCATCCCTAAACTACTGACCAGATACCCCGATAACCGCGGGGGCTGTATTAACCACTGTGCTTACAGATAGATAGGCAAAGCAACAACTGTTGCACATCATGCGCGTCATGTTTCTTACTCCTGCATCTGAAAGTGCACAAGCACAGCTACAGGTGAGAAGGAGTCATTCAGGTTTATTTAACTCATTTGTTTAGCGAGTAGCTAAAGTCAGCCGCTTCTTGAAAGAAGCCAGGATACCAGCTTCGGCGGCATGGGTGGGTAGGTTGTTCCTCTCTCCCATCACCCTTATTGTAAAAAAAACCAACAAATTCCTGTTGACTGTTTAAAGTACACTCCCATTTAGCACATAAAGAAAACACCCAGACAGGGTAGCATTCTGCCTTGGTGCAAAGCTTACAGAAATACTACTATATATATCAAATATATTATCTATTATATAGAATATATATATTATTTTTTTTATCACTTTCTTCCAGATATTCTTTCCAGCAGTGTTAGAGAAAAATAGAAAAATAAAATCCATTGCATTTACAGGTTGTTTGTCCAAGGGCTTCCTTCTTAAAATTAATAAGAAATTTGGGGAAATTCTTAATAAGAAGGTACAGTACGTGTAATCTCACATAGTAATCTGCACATGCTACATAAATAATACATAGATGTGTAAAGTAAAACTTACAAAGGTAGCAACTATAATAAACTGTTAAAGTAACAAAGTACACATATACATAAAAGAGCTGCATTAACTTGTGAGCTACAAAAAAGAATTAAAAGTTAATTGCACACTAAGAAGTAAAGTTTGTTACCTTTGTGTGGGAAATTATAGCTCTACTTGTTTCTATATATAATATTAAATTGTACTGTTTAATACACAGATCTGACACTATACTGCAGTGGGCGCTGTCTTTCGGATGAGACATTAAAACCGAGGACCTGACTCTCAGTGGTCCCCAGGCGTGTTATCCCGAGTTATCCCGGTGTCTGGGCCAAATTCCCCCCCTTGGCCTTTACCGTGGCCTCCAGATTGTGCCCATGTTTGATTGGCCTGCACTGGCCCCGAGATGGACCGGCGCCCTGTCCAGGATGTACCCTGCATTGCGCTTTTTGCTTGCCAGGTAGGCTCCAGCTTCCCGCAGCACCGTATGGTATAAAGCAGTTTGGCAAATGACACGACAATACACAGATCTGCTTAATTGGAATTACAGGTTATGTGAAGCTTGAGATCTGCATGCGAGAGAGAGGTGGGCAGGCAGGGCAGCACATGGCTGGGTGCTTGTACCTGGAGGCCGCGATGATGGAGGCATTTAAACCCCCATAGCAGGACAGAGCCACTGCAAAAGGGATGGTCCAGCTCATCACTCCCAGTGTGCGATCAGCAAAGGTCTGCAGAAACAACGCAACAGGTGGGTTATCTTCTGGCTCTGGGTGCAGTCCTGTGTTGACTAAAGAAATACAGAAATAAGAACAGGCAGGGATCTACTATGAGCTTCTGGCTTGGGACCTGCATGATTCTTACAGTAGAATCCCGACCCCCCACTTACCACAGCAACGGCATCGCTGGCGAGGATGGCGTTCATGTCCAGCACAGCATAGTACGCAACGTTAGTCAGGATATAAATAACCATCACTATTGGCAAAGAGATGGCGATGGCCAAGGGGAGGTTCCTGCAGATCAAGACAGAGAGCCATATTGACACAGAGTCCAGCAACAGAGGTGGTGTGTGCTCTGCATGCCAGAAACACTGGAGCCCTGTGGAGCCCAGGACAATAGGACAAGATTACTAATAACGTCCTGTGGTATACAGTACCATGGTGAATAACAGTAGAAGGGTAGTCAATCACAGTAAAGCAGGTACTGTGAGAAGATGATAAATGTAAGAAGTCTGGAGAGAGAAGCTTAAGAACCATCATTCTCTGATATTTTGAGAATATGAAATAAATCTAGAATATCAATATGGAATTATTATCTAGAGTTCAAAGACCGTGTCTCTATCAGGATCAGCGGGAATCAGACAGAACTAAGCACATTCCTTGAGCATTGCTTTCCTCAATTAGTAGATGCCTATGCATGAAAAAATGGAAAAAGCTAAGGACGGAGCCCTACATTGCTGAAGAAAAGCTGTTAAAGTGCTCATGTTGTCACTGGCCTATCCGTGAATAACTTCTCCAACACTCCTGGAACATTATGGGCACTGATGGAATCCCTCCCTCCACAGCAGAGCTCACCTCTCTGGATTCCTGATCTCCTCGGTGACATAGTTCAGGGTGTCCCAGCCGGAGTAGGAAAAAAGGGCCGAGTAGAGAGCTAGAGTGAGGTCTCCCGCGTTCCAAGAGGAGCCTTCAAAGGCAGACTCAAAGTGCAACGTGGAGCCTAACCAGAGGACACGTGGCGACAGCTTTAGTTGTGCATCAAATGAGTCAGTTTTACAGCTGCAAGCCTGGAATCACAAGCGCCATGTTAAAATGCTTAATCAATGTATCAGCTCATGGCAGGACATGACAGACGTACTGTCAATTAATCCTGTAGAAAGCTTTGCCAACAAGCTATGCATAGCCATTCAATGTCTCCTTTTATGAGATGACTTATACTCAATTATTTTGTAAATTCTAAATGAAAGATATGGAAGTTTGCAAACACATTCAGTGAACGGAAAACTGAAAAAGAATCAGGATGCCAGGAGAGAAAAGTTAGCTCACGTGAGACATTGCAGGAGGTTGACAGTACACCAGCAGTCCTGAAACCAGGCCACTGAAGGCCTCAGTCCAGCTCTTACCCTGGCACAGCTTGACAAGTCCAGTGATGATGATGACGATCAAGGCCAGGACTTTGGCATAGGTGAAGACGTCCTGGACTCTGGTGCCCCACTTCACGTAGGCCGAGTTGACGAAGGTAAGGAGACCTGCAGAGACCCAAGTGGTGAAGTTAAGACTGAAAAAACTCCATGACTCATCAAGCCAGAATAGAATGATAAAACCACTGAGTCTTGTGTGTCACAAGTTCCATGCTCCTACTGAATGCAAAAAGCAAACAAGGTAAAGGCAAAGTCTGGAGATCATTATATGACAGGCTCTTACTCATGTGATTAATGAACAGCCCTATCACCTAAAGACTTAGAACAATCTCACTGTGACCAATCAAGAAGGCGAACTGTTAAACGAATCAATTTCAAAATCTTTTGGGATGAAATACTTTAGTACCCTTCAGACTTCTAGAACCAGGGTTCTGTTCATCGAACAGATCTCATTCTTACTTCAGCAATAACACACAGGTGTTGCCACTCTTTAGAAACAGGTGACCTAACTAGGCTGGGGCTCTCCAGGACCAGGGTTGGGCAGCCCCTGCTCAGAATAGGGGCCCAACCCTGGTCCATCCAGCCCAGTCACAGAACTGAGTCAGCAGTGTCGAAACCAGGTCCTAAGAGACCTGGAGTTAAAAAGTAACCTTCTGATGCATAGGTCAGGGTTAGAGTTAGAGCCCTCACATTCCTATTGTAAAGCTATATCAGACTTTGTTCCAGCCCCAAAGCTAAACTAAAAAATGTTGCTCCTGTACATTAATGAAAGAGATCCATGTGAAGATGAGCAGTGGTGCTGGTAACAGCAAGAGCACACCAGGGACAATGTCAATGTGTCCCCAGCGGGGGAGACAGACTATGGATTGGCATCATTTCGGGCTGTTTGAGGGTATGAAACCGAGTTGTACAGGAACACAAAAACACTAAAAAGTAGAAAATGACAGCACTAATGTGTTGAGACAGGCCTAAAGCTCTGTCCTGGCCCTCATGGGCCACACTGCCTTACTGCTTAAACACCCTTAATTGAGGTGTTGTGACTGTACTCCCAAACACATGCAGTTTTTAAGTTCCTGATGACTATTTTCAGTCCAGTTTTACATTCTCTCACACTTTTTTAAGTTGGAAACAATTCGAACAATCAAACTACTTAAACATTTCCAGTTGAAATTGCGGTTCACAAACAAGAGCATACACATAGTTGATCCACAATGTACCTTAGTACAGTACTTTTGAAACATTTTGCTGGCAGGTACAGTATGTGCACGTGTTTACCCAGCTCCAGCAGTTCTACAAGGACAGACGATTCCAGCAGACTGATACTGCTGCTCTGGAACAGTCTCTGGAAGAGTAACCGGATGAGTTCCAAGTTTTAAAAATATATTCGGCTCTGATGGGCTGAAGGAACAAAGACTATTTAGTCTTGAACAGAGAGGATTACAAGGGGACTTGTATTCAAAATCCTCAAGGGCACTGACTTCAGAAACGTGGCAGTGCTTTTTAAACTGAGAAGAGGAGGCACTTCTTTACCCAAAAGGTTGTGGGAGTATGGAACAAGCAATCCAGCCATGTTGTTGAAGACGACCCCCCGGCCTTTTCTCCAAGAAACATCTGCATAAGACCCCTTTGATCAATTAGCTATGAACTTCCAAACTGCCCAACAGGCTGTAACCTTTCATTCATGTCTACCCTTTCCTAAATTCTTAGAAGGAGAAGTCCCCATGAAGGTGGGCAGTAGGCTGAGCACAACAAGTAGGCCTTCCAGGGAACCCCAAAACAACCCATGAGAACTGGCAACCCTAAGTACAACCTGTAAGTGTGATGCAGACTCAATGACCCAGAATTACTACACAGTATACTACACAATGCTTTTTATATTTCTCAGGCAAAATGAATGCGTTCACTTAAAGTCATTTTTCCCATAGGGGCAAACGCGATGTATGTGGCCGCAGGTCCACTACACTTTCACAGATTGAAATGTCTATTAACACCCGTTTCGATAAATCGGTGCAACAGAAATAAATCTGAAGCTGTACGCAGACGGACTCTCTTGAATGGCATGTCATGGAAATCGCTGCTTTGCTGGGGTTTGTGTTTGGCATGAAGAGGAGAAGAGACTCACAGATGCAGGCAGCTGCAAGGAGGCAGGAGGCAGAGTAGGGCGCCTCGCAGGAGGGGAACAGCGGCTGCACCAGGTAGTTGGCGAAGGTGATGGCAATGATGGCCTGGCTGCAGGGCTCGATGATGAGGAGGGAGGTCCACAGGCGGATGAAGGCGACGAAGCCCCCGAAGGACTCCAGGATGTAGGCGTAGCTGGCGCCGGACTTCTTGATGGTGGTCCCCAGCTCGGCGTAGCACAAGGCCCCCACCACGGAGAACACCCCCGCGACCACCCAGATCACCAGGGACAGCCCGTAGGAGGCGCTGTGGAGCAGTACCCCCTTGGGGGAGACGAAGATCCCCGAGCCGATCATGTTGCCCACAATGAAGCTGATCCCGTTGAGCAGGGAGATCTCCTTCTTCAGCTGCAGGTTCTCCTGGCCACCCTGGGGCCGCTCCTTCTCCTCCTCCTCGCTCCTCACGGGGCTCCACTGCCCCGGCGCGGCTCGGCTGCCGTTCCCCTGGCCGCTGCTCTCTCTGGAGGCCATCGGTATGGCCTGGCCTCCTCTGGCAAGGTCGGCCTGCGAAGAGGAGGGAGAGGACAGGAAAGCCAGGCTCAGCCCCAGGCCAAGACTAGCAACACACGGGGCACAAAAACACATCATGAAACAAACGCTTTTGCCCAACACCGAGACAACCTGTAATCATACGACTCCAGGAGCAAGCGTGTTGAGTGTGAAAGTATTTTGTTTTTGTCTCAAGAAATAAAATGCCATCCTTCTAATAAGTAACTCCACTGTAACTTTCAGCTGATGAGTGCTTTCAGGTTGCTTAACCCTTTAACTGACATTCATTGGCGCAGAATGCAGAGAAAATAACTGTAGCCTTCTTCAGCTGGAGCTTTGATGAGAAAACTTTGAGAAAATAAGGAATTCATATTTTCCCCATAAAAGACCGCACCCTACATTCTGCATCTCACTAACCCTCCTGAGCAGACAAACAAAGGCCATGGATTAATGAAGTGATTTGCACCCTAATTTTGTGGGATATGTTTTTATTTTAAGCAATACATAAAAAATGGCATTCAGAATGTTTTTCATTCAGACCCTGCTGCACACTATTACCATGATATTCCCACGCCCTGTGTGGAAGCACAGTCTGTTTGCAGTGTTTCCTGATGTCCCCTGTGGACATTCTAATTGAGACGACTGGAACACATCCAGACTGAGACAGTCACTCATCTTCCAGGAAACGTCATTGGGATTTTTGTTCTTGCCTTTGGCAGTATTACGGTATTTTTGTCTGCTGGGCATTGTCACTGCAAACAGCTCTATTAAAAGTGATTTTCGCCATCTTCTGCATTCCACGATACTGGCTTTGCTCAGAAGTAACCGTATGAAATTTGTGTTTACTTGCAGAGAGCTTAAATGGGTTTTCTAGTATTTTTCTTATTTTGAACTTATTTGTGTGACCTTCACTGATCTTAAACACTGTCAATGATTCATTATCTCCCCTAAGTAAAAGATACATTTGAGTGAGTCTCCCACTGGAGTCTCCAAGTCTGTGGTCTAAGTGAATAAATAAACTTGCTTGCGTCTGACATGTTCCATTCAGCAGAATTCCAGCCTTACAGCATGAACCTCAGAGCTTAGGGCTTCACTTCTTGTGGGAGGTACTATGAGTCGTGCCCAAAAATAAGGATGTTTTGGTCCACATTTACCTCAGCTGGGCTCCTGTCACACACATAAAAGTATAACGGTGGCAATTAAGCCCATCCAACCCATTTGATAAAAAAAAACGATGTTCATTTTTAAAATTTCCCTTTCCCCCCAAAAAAAAATAATAATAGTGGAAATAAAACTTTTACAATTCATTGCACAAATAAATCACACAACTCAGAACGATAAAGAATTAAGCAACAATGGTATTAGCATTTGTGTATTTACGACATATCATTTGCGTTTCGAAGATTTGGTAGACACCCCTGTAGCTTCAGGGGAGATTCGTTTAATGAGGTGTTTTTGCTTTGTCCCAAGCCTTGAAATGGCTCACCGGTTTGCTCTTTCCTGCATTAGTTGTCTCTAAGAGGAGCTCTGCCCTGCCTTAGCAACACCTTTTAATCACCACAGTGACCCAAATGTTTCATCACACCCCTAACAACAATTACCACGTAATTAAAACACTTCGTTAACTGTGAGAGGAAAAAGGGAAGGGGAGAGGGGGATATCTTTGTTCGGAAAATACAGACTTTACCGATTCCCCTTTGTAATCAAGTAATCAATCACAGCCAGGACTGCTCACAAGCAAACAGTACCTCGTGACAACGCCTCGGTCCTACACACACACACACTTTACCACCAGAAACAGGTGAGAAAAGTAATGCTGAACAAATTTTACAGTAAAATGACTGCACTTTTCCACTCATCCACAGACACCCAAAGCCACAACTACCTTAAAAATGTCTTCGGCCAGCTTTGGCGTGTATTGTATGTGGTCACTATGAAGCTGTCATGTGTATGCAAGATAAAAGTCCCGCATGTTTTTAAAATATGTTACTGAAGAGATTGAATTAATCGTTTTATGGTTATTTTCAAAATTCGGAAATACCCTAACAGTATATAAAACCGTACTCTCTTTACAATTAATTTTAGTATTTTTTAGTACGACTGAAATTGAAATTTCTTAAAGCATTTTACAGCATGCATGTTTCCATTCTTGTGACCGGTGCGGTGCTGTATTTCTGTTGGCGAATGCATAGCTTCTCAGCCAGTCGCACGGACAGTTACATTGGACAGGTGACGTTTGCACGAGAGACGGTCGCCTTGAGGGTATGCTTGAAAACTATTACATGGCAATTACTGCTCGTGTCCTGGGATAAAAATAATTTTCGACAAGTCTAAACTAGCAGTCAGCAAACCCCCTCCCCCCACCTAGAGCAAATCGAGCAACAAACATCAGCTGTGTTTAAAGCACTCATTGTCTCTTGAAAAATGTGCATGAGACGGTCATAATGATAATATTAGTTAAAATACAAAGTTACAATTCAAGTGAATAAACATTAGTCCTTATTGCTTTTTGAATGTTTTTTTTTTCGTCAGTATGCAGTATGCATTTTATCGGCTTAAAAAAAGATCCAGCTGTATACGGACAAAACGTCAAAACACAAACATAATCGCCAACACAATTTAGAAAAGCATCCTGCAAGACAAAGCAAAATCCTTCCTCATTCCTGCTGCGAAAGCTCACACCTGTATCATCTTTCTGTTAGACAGAAAATGTCATAAGTAATTCTTACCGTAAAAACAGAAATAACAACGTAATGTTTTTATCTATTATTCGCTTCCCATCAGTGAGCCAGTAGAGGCTTTCCGGCTGTCATTTGTAAAAAAAAAATAAAAGAAACGTTGTTATGACAGAAGTAAAGAATTGCGCTCCCATCATCCCAGACATAGCATTAAACATTTTTTTTTGTTAAAAGTCTTACCTCTAAGTGTTGACTTCTTGTTTGGGAGCTAAACTTCCAGGCAACAGCTCTAATCCATCATTTCAATGCTGAGCTCCAATGCTGCTTCTATAGAAATTGAAAAGCCCAATGCAGTCACGTGACACCGGCAATACGCGCACACACAGAGGCTACCCCCTTATCACGTGAACTACAATTCTTCAAAAACACTTTTTTTCCTTAAGAAAACCCTCTGCTCAGTTTATTCGAGTTGAATGGGACTGTGTGACGACCGTTTTGCAAAGGAGGTCTGAGCGCTACCATCCTAATACCTCGTATCATAAAAGACAGGAAAACCCTTATTGTAAAGGCTGTAAATATTTTTTTACAAAAATAATTACGATTTGGGGATCCCTTAAGGTAAACCGCAAGGGTGGGTTCTGTGCTGTAACTACAGTATGTATCCAGTAATACTGCTGTGTGCTGTGTGTGCTAAGTCTTACCTTAATTGATCTTTACAACAGTTCCCTCGGTTTTTCCAACCGTGTGCGACTTTCGAAACTGTGTTATGAATTACACACATCAGTAAGACGTAGTAAAACAAATGGCTCTCCAAGAAAAGCTAATCGATGCTTCCTGCCCCGAAAGCTGCTCCAATACCCTCGTACAAATAGTACTATCAGCTACCGCCGGCAGTTATAATTGACTAAACACAGGGTACTATATATCTCGGCTGTTGCGCAGTCATGCCTGCCGTCTACGTAACGGGTGTCAAGGGTCTGTGAAGCAAAACGCTGCAAGTCAGTAATTGTGACTGCACAGTCGGTTAATGAATTATTGTTTTGTACATATTATTTCTAAGATGAAGGGTTTATAAACAGGGGATCGAATAGCTGTGTGTGTGTTGGGGGTGGATTTGTGCTGCTCTTTGGCTCGTATCACATCGCTTGCGAAAGACGATTCGATTCCCGATGCTGCAGGTGAACACCTAGAGTTTCTATCTCACGTTCACCCCTCCACTCCGTCATCAATATTCCAGTCATTTAGCCATGGTGTCCTTGTGAAAGTGTGATTTTTACCTCCCCAAGACGACGTTCTAGTTAACAGTGTCTTAGTTTATTGCTAGGAATAATACTATAAAAATTGTATAGAGCAGTCTAGGCCGTTCCGCCTAATTAGAAGAAAGATATTATACAAGAAGAAATGATTAGATATTATGTTAACGAACAGCATTTAATATTTATTTTATTCTCTTCGGTTGTGTTTTTGTCAATTTGAAATTCTGAACGGCAATGCTATGGACCTTTAGACGTTTTATTTGTGTATTTTATACCTGTATATCATGTATTGTGTGTCACAGTTGTGAAATCTTTATGCTGCGTGCTATTTGAGGAGCTCCACAGTACCATCCATCGTCCATACCCGGGAACAAAGCACCCAATTACAATTCACCTAGCAAGTCACATTTCGATCAATTACAGGTAATGCATGTTATAAATGGAGCGCTCTAATATGCAATGGAGATTGAATGTCAGAAAAACCTCCAAAGAAATGCAAAGTGAGACTTACTGATTTCATGTACCTGTAGGTCAGCTCCCTAGGTGTTTGCCAACATTTTCTGCTGAGTCATTAAGTCTCACACACTTAGCACAGTGGGATGTGTAATTTTTGTCTTGCCCATTCTTCCTGAAAAAGCTGCCTGAGTTCTAATAAGTACTTTAGTAATAAGTACATTGACGGAACTTATGAAGTCTCGCCATTAATTTTCCACTGGGACCAAGTCACGGCTTTGTCTGAGCCACTGAAGGACCTTCACTCTCTTCTGCTCTTACTGTACCACTCCAATGTGGTTCTGACCTTAGGCTTCAGGTCATTGTCCAGTTTCAGGTTCTTGATTGATGCAAACAGGTTTTCCTCTGGGATAGGCCATTCGTTTTCCCATCTGTCCTGACAAGCTTTCCTGTCCACAACACGCTGCTGCTCTACCTCCAGCACATATCGGCGGTACCGCTACACGCTTTGTCGCAGTCAGTAATGGCTTAGTTCTTAATAATGTCATTTTCCCTCACAGGTCAACACCAGCCTATTATTGGTGTGTATAATAATAATAATAATTGCTTACACTTATATAGCACTTTTCTGGACACTCCACTCAGAGCGCTTTGAGAAGGCAGCCATAGTACTCCAGCACTCTCCCCATCCAGCAGGTCTCAGTGGGGTGGAGAACAGAATAATGAAGCCAATGCATAGATGGGGATTATTAGGAGGCCATGATTGGTAAGGGCCATTTGGAAATTTGGGTTACACCCCTACTCTTTTCGAGAGACGCCCTGGGATTTTTAATGACCACAGAGAGTCAGGACCTCGGTTTTACGTCTCATCTGAAGGACGGTGCCTTTTTACAGTACAGTGTCCCAATCACTATACTGGGGCATTAGGACCCACATAGACTGCAAGGTGAACAGCCTCTGCTGGCCCCACTAACACCTCTTCCAGCAGCAACCTTCGATTTTCCCAGGAGTCTCCCATCCAGGTACTGGGCAGGCTCACACCTGCTGAGCTTCAGTGAATCATGAAAAATGGGACACAATGCAGCAAAGCACTGTAATTCACACACTTGGCGAATGTGCAGGGGTCTTGCTGCAGAGTTTCACAGGGATTCTTCTTCCTCGCAAGGATGTATAAAATTTAAAAATAGGCATGCAGATGACCATATCATTTACACGGGCGTGATAACCCTGCGTTTATTAAAATTGGGCTCAGCACCTTATGCTAGATTGCTGGACTGTCTGTAGCATGCATGTGCCTGGGACAGTTACATTGTCTTCTCCCTTTCATTCACTCATCCCTCACATGAAACTAGGACACATGTAGTGAGATGTTTTAATGACCCGGTTCCCAAACTTTCAATATCAATCCACAAACACATGGCTTCCTTGTCAATTCTCACCGTCAAGCCACATGATGAAGAAGAAGCTTCCAATCATAGAACCTCACAATTTTTAACGTTAGCCCCCTAGATTAATGTGTAGAAGATTTATTACATTAGAGGGTGTGTAAAATTAAAAAAAAAATACATCAGTAAGTGAAAACAAAAACACAAAGCAAGAAAGTGAAATGAAATTCAGTCTTTATGTATATGCTCCTAAACTTATCTTTTTTATATACAAAAAGGAAGAGACTGCAGTCAGAGCCACACACTTACATACATTTAAATAAATTCAAGTGTTAAGAAGTAGAACAGCACCACTACCTATATTCTTGATACAAGATACTAACACTTAGCACTGCCAGATAACATTTTCAGACCCTCTACAAAAAACTACTAGTACGTTAAGCAGAACTCAGAACAGTTGCAAACACCACTGTTGTGTTGCTGACTGAATAAATAAAAGCCATTGTGATAAATATCTTGGTTTTTGTACATTTTCGAAAATGGCACAAGAGAAAACAGCTTTGTGAATGTTGCACTACCTTTTTTTTTTTTTTACACAAATGGAAATCACATCATGCTGATGAGACCTTATGCTACAAAAAGCTTAAGGCCACCCTTCAACTACAGTAAAAAAAAAAAAAACATTACTACAGTATTTATCATACATCACTACAGTGTATAATCTGAGAACTATTGAAGATGGTGTCTTGTGAAAACATGCATGCAAGACAATATACAATCTAAGTTTTATAAAAACTACTTAATGAGTTTCCATTATAAATGAAGTATTTCAGTTATGAAATACAAATAGGTTATCAGGATCCGGATCAGTGGCAAAGCCAGCACCAGCGTCCACACACACCGGATATATTGCTGCTGCGTCTGTCGGCACTACCCTCCAGTCCCCTTCACCCAACAGGATAGATAAGTCGAATGGCCCCCCTCACGTCCTAACAAACATGTTGAAACACACACGCGTCGTTTTTCGTCTTTGAAACTGCACATCAGGTGGAATCCTTAACCATTCCAGTACCAATATGAACTGATTTAGCAGGAGATCAACCATGTGGATTTAGCCCACCAGTCCTAAATCCAGATATGCCCAGTAGCGTGGTGTCCCCACAGCTCCACCGTGATGATCAGATCCTGACTGTGAGCCAGGTGGCTTCTGGGAGAACCAGGGGGGTGGGCGTGTCACTGGAAGAGAGGGGCGGGGCTGCGGGAGACCGAGGCCGACACGAGACCCAGCGCCACCACCAGCAGCTCGGCCGCGCGCTCCCCGAGACACACGCAGGTGTCCAGCAGGGAGCGCGTCCGGTCTGCCAGGGTCCGGGCGGCCCTGACGAGCTCATAGGCCTCCGGGGTCAGCAGCTGTCTGGAGCGCAGCATGTCCAGGATTTTGTTCAGCCCCCCCTCCGTCAGCCCCCGCACGATGGACTCTCGGCGGTCCTGCAGGATCTGGCAGCAGCTCTTCCCAGGGAGAGAGTCTGAGAAACGCACACAGAGGTGAGATAGAGCAGAAACTGCCTTTGTCTCTAAGCAATATAATTGATTTGAGAGCCCTGGAGAGCAAAAGCGTATTTAGGCACAGAGAGATGGCAACCCTTACTTGAGATAATGGTTCTGCACACAGAGTTAAATAAACATACCTCTGAAGTCTACATCTGCTGCAATCTGGGATACATAACCATGTAAATTGAGATTTCTAAAAGATTACAGCCCTGATATTCTTGGTGTTTATGACAGATAGTATTGGTCTCCAGGAAGAGCTTGCAAAAGAACAAACAGCAGGAAGTAAATACCCATTCTCTGTGCAATGCACTAGATCCCTGCAAGTTTTTTTATTCCACCGATTTCCTTCTCTACATGCAAATGAAATCAAATAATTTAATGATCCCGTAATATAATGTATTTCCTTGGAATTAAAATTAACCTGTGATGATGGGTAAAATGAAAATCAGTTCTCACAAATCAGTTTACAGAAAGAAACAAAACTATGCAGGGAAACAGCTCTCTATTACAGAGGAAATAGATTTGGAAAACACAGATAAGGAGAGGCTGCAGACGTGAAAGAGCAAGAGAGCCAGCCTTGCAGGAAACAGCCAATCAGTGACCCAACCAAAGAAATGCTTACACTGCATAATGTGTGTAACTGTAAGTATACACACTGAGCTTTAAAAGAAACAACCTTATAACTGCAGGAAATTCACACATTTTCTCTCAGGAAAACACCAATGTCTTTTTTTGTAACAAGGACACCGATATGTTTTCAAGAAATACTGTGAATATTAACACACTGGGGCTGATCATGAGGAGGAGTTCTGCTGTGAAAATGTGAAATGCTGTCCATCTGTGTTGCATGCTTTGCACCAGACTACAGATGTTATCTTATGGGATTCTGTCCCTTTCCTTTCATAGGGCCTGGACATGAATGAGCCTGTTCACTGGTCTCCAAGCAGTAGATGCCTCATGTCACTGCTGTTCGTGCCACAGACGTTCAATGGGGCTCAGATGTAGTAATCTGAGCATCTGTGATGCAACTGTCAACTATCTCATCTTACAAGAAAGCTGTTGTTACAAGAACAGCATGATGACATGCACTGCCCTGCTGGAATGTTATCAATTTAAGCCTGTTGGGAGATTGAGGTCCTGGGACTTTATCAATATAGTACCACACAGTCAGGTTCCCCATCAGTTACCACAAGTGGAAAGTTGCAGAAGACATGCAGAAGCCTTTCCCTGTTCTTAAGAAGGAGAGATGGAGATTCAGAGATACCTGTAAAATCTGCCTGAAAGAAGGCCTTAAGAACCATAGTTGGCCACGCCTGGACTACACTATTACCCAGGCAACCATACTTGGATCTCCCCATCCACAGATCTGTTGTGCATATCAATTGGAGACTTGCAACACAATCAAGTGTATCACCGTTGCTCATGAGTGATCACTGAATCCCTAAGCTATACTCTATATTTCTCAAAACTTGTTTGTTTGTCTAGATAGAGTAATATTTTTCCTTTGATGCCCAGCCTATAGAGATGCTTCATAATTTAGTCCTTGAGACAACTTCATTAACTTTTCCAGAAGCACAGGCTTGCCAATACTATCTGAAACATTTTGCTGCAGACTATAAAAACCCCAAGAAAACTAGATGAGTAACTGGAAAGGAAGGGAGAGCCATGAGGCGAGAGATCAGCAGGAGAGGAAGAGCACTCTGTGAGTGGACTGTGCTAGCAATGGCGGAGTGACTCACCCACAGAGCAGTGTCTGGGCCGCTCCAGGGGGAGATTTCTGGGCAGCACGGGGGCGCGAAAGGGTGGGGGGTTCATCTTAGGAGGGGGGCTGCATCTGGTCTCCCCTCTCCTGGAAGGGCCCTGAGGCAGGGAGGCTTGAGCACTTTGACAAGGTGGCTTCAACAAAGAGGTGCAGGCTGGGATCCAGCACTCTGGAAAAACATTTTTTTTAAAATCAAGGAGGGAATGGTTGCACCAACTAGCTACAGTATATGAGTCTGTGGAAGGTACTTTAAACTGAAATCTTAGCACTGAAAGCATTATCCAAAGGATTAATCAAAATGATTTATTTTAAAGTATATTGAATTATGAAAAATAAAAGTAAATAATTCCAACAACACTGTAGAAACACTTTTTTTTTTAACACTGCCATCTTAATCCCCTGCTGGACTTCCTGTAGGAAAACCACTTTTTCAGTGACTGAGATGCGATATTACCTCTATGACAGGCAGTCGGAGGGCTGCCTTGTGCTGATGGGGGCGATGACTGGTTTTGGGGTCTTGTCCTCTGCGATGCAGAAGACAGGGTCTGCACCTTTTCCAGCAGGACAGTCTTATTGCCAGGATGTTTTGAGTCACCGCAGCAACCGGAAGTCTGATAACGTAAAAAAAAGAAGTATTCATATCCAGGGCAGGTGGGAAAGTAGCATCCCACCCATTCAGCATAGGACTACCTGGGTGTTGAAACAGAAGACCAGTTTGAGCTAGCATTCTTCACATAACTTAAAAACTTCACTGCTTAATTACATTTACTTAGCATTTTAAGTTTTTAAGGCTACAACCCTGTAAAAACTTTATGAACTACAAGATGTATTACAAAACTAACAATTACAAACTCCGAAATGCATCCGCTCTGTTATGGACAACCAGAACAGTCAATGGTTTTGATTCTAACAGCTGAGCTCAGCTTTACCCTGTTACAGTACTTATCCGTTTGCTAATACAACATTATTACGAAGGGTCTCTGGACATTAAGAGAAATATCCTCCATCTGCATTATTCAGTTATTTAAATTCCAGTTTGCTGCACATTCTGTCATTTGTGCATCACTACATTATTCTACAGTGATTAATACCATGTCCATTCAGTCCAACAGAAGTCCAGCTCACCTCCAGATTGTGTATCTCCACCTGCAGCTCCTGAAATGACTGGTCTTTCCCATACAACAGCGCCCTCTCCTGGACACAAGACAGAATAAAACTAGATCAATACTAAAGTCTATACAGAAACCTACTGTACACACCAACTTTCTGTTTCAAATAATAACAGAACATACGTAGAAAAACACACAGTAGTTTAAAAGGTATTCTGTTTCTTGCATTGTTCCAACACTTTGGGCTACATACAGCAGTTAAACTTGATTATGGATGTAAACTGCTGTACACTTTGTAGATGCTGCAAACAGCGAAGTGCAGTGTTTCCCCAACCCTGTTCCTGAAGGATCACAGTCTTCTGGCTTTTCTCCAGCCGAGTTCTTAATCACAGGCTTACCGATTTCAGTTTTCGGTTTGGAGCCAGTTTATAAATAACCAAAGGACTTGGAGAAAACCCATACAAACATGCAGAGTACTACTGGACCTAGGATCTAACCTTGAGGCAATAGCACTTATCACATCACCCCTAGGAGTCGCTTATGGGAAAACTAATATGCAAAGCGCTTCACATTCAAATCAAAGCTCAAGAGGAAAGGAGTTGTGCAAGTCAATGCTATGTAAGAAATCTATCTGGTGCTGGAGGGGCATGCATGTGTATATTGATGGAAGACCCTTTACCTTGCTCTCGTTCAGCTGGAGGACAGCCCCGGCTATCGAGTCTGGGTGGAAGGCCTCTATGGCACTACGGAGCACCAGCAGGCAGTCTGCAAGAAGAGAAACGAGCTTTCAGCCGTCAGGCAAGTCCCAACACACGAGAGAACAGATCGTTCTTTCAGTTTCATAGTCAAGGCCTCGGGGAAAAGCCATCAGCCTTTCTGCTAAAGCAGTGAGCATGCACTGTACAGTAGCCCACTTTCCTGCTTCAGCAGCTTTGACA